ATGGATTGTGCGAACAAGCACACGCACACAACCCACAGACACACACTCGCCCACCCGCACACTGATATTGCTATTATTCTCTATGTAAGTTGTTTTCTCTCGTTTGATTCTTATTACTATCTATACATGATTCTATAACAGGACTGGTCCCCGATGGGATCGGGGTGGTCCTATCCCCTGTCCCATCCCCTGTCCTGGTCGGACTGGGCGGTTGACGAGCCTGGGCGACCCCCTGTCGAACCCAGCGCATCACTCTGGGGCCGGGGTACCGCGGAGTAAAGGACACCCCTGCAATTGCCCAGCCCACGGGAGTCTGCTGCCTCCTTATACAGAAAAATCGGGGCCTTTTTTACCCCACCACTTCTTGAAAAGAACGCGCAAAGATATCTCCATCAATGATCTTCACCTCAGTTTCTTCACAACAGCCTATGGAGCGAAATTTCTAGTCCAGAAAAGCCCAACAAAAAAGAATCGCGCATTCCAAATTTTATTGCGGATTCCAACAGATCTCGACGGGTGCAGTCTGAATCCGTCAAAAAGAAAAGGAAAAAAACTTTTAAAAAGGGCATTTTTTTTTTTTTTACTTTTTTTAACACAGAACATATTTCTGTAATTACATATCCGGCAGTCAGATCCCGCTATACATCATTAGGCCTGCCAGCATTGATTGCCCTGTTTCAAGGGGATTGACTGCACAGGGCATTTTTTCTACAATCCGGTTTGAAATTCCCGGTTCACCCCCCGGGGCTGGTCCGGCACTGGTTGGACCGGGAGTGAACCAGCCAGTTGCCTGCTCAGCCTTTTTCTATAAGTTGTTTTTCCATTTCCTTCCGTATTTTCTTTGCGTTCTTGTCGACTTGCTGCGGTTTTTGGCACCAGTGTCTGTTTGTAAGGAGCGCGTGTAATACTGTTAGCGGCTAGTCTACCAGCCGGGCCGCCCAGGTCACCCTATTTCCCCGGACGGCCCGGCCGTGCAAGGACCAGGGAAAGTCCTAGCAAAAAAAAGACAAAAAAAAGACCAATTCTTTGCCAAATTTAAAACAAAAATAGAGTTTTTTTTTTTTTTTTTTTTGGCCCGGCGGGGCATGTGGCCCCGGGCCACTCGGGTAGCCTAGATTAGCGGGCTGTTCTGTTTGGATGCCTTTGAGTCTGTGTTTTCTGGTGGCAACAGATTTGTCTGGCGGCTTCCTACCTCCTAGCTCCTCAAGGTTGCATGGACCTACGGTACAGTCTGCTGGGTTTTCCGTATGATATGAGCAGGCAGTGTGTGCATGGGCTTGTGTTGCTCCGACGCACTGAAAACCTGTTTCCTCAGCCTGCCCGCCCGCGTGCCAATTTTTCTTTTATATATATAATATATATATATATATATATTTGTGCTGTGTGCTGAGTGCTGAGTGCCTTGCTCTGTCCTCATGAACCCACCCCCACCACTCAGCGGCTCACACAGGTGCCTTGCTGCCTGCCTTGTTTGTTTTGGTATAACTTGCCTTGTCCTTAGTGTGCTGCATGCCTTGCTGTGTCTCGCCCATCACACGGCCCCCCAACTCTTTTTTTTTTTTTTAAGTTGCCTCCCAACAGGGTTTGGAGTTGGTTACAAACTTGCAACTGAAAGAATTGTGAGGGGTTCCCGAACGCGTTCAGCCTCCTGATGAGTAGGTGCAAGTTTGACGAAACAGACTCTCGCTACTACATTTTTCTTCTGTGCTGCATTATTGTGCGAAGTCCGGGCCAATCTGTAATGGATGTATTGAGCTACTAATCCCAAGTCTGAGCAAATTACCCCCGAGCAGCACGTGATCTTGAAATTTTGGCACGTCGGGTCCCACCACATACTAAGTTCATCTCTACTAAGATACGCTGAAGTGTTTCCTTCAGAGCATTGATGGCTTGGACTATTCCTACCACGATGCGTGGTAT